ACAGCACATAACAGCAACAACAATTTATAACTGGAGTCCTGGTATGGTACTGTGAGATAAGCACTGGACAGCAAACCAAAAGGTCAGCAGTTCAAACCCACCAGCTGCTCCTTGGGAAGCCTATATACAGTGTTGCTATGAGTTGGAACCAACTCAGTGACCCTTAACAACAACAATATATAATTAAACTATACGTTTCATTATCAAAATGTTTATCTCCCAACATAAGTAGTGGTTCATGGCTATGTGCTGTGCAATCGGTTCCAACGCATAGCAACCCTGTACAGGGTTTCCAAGGCTGTAAATCTTTACCGGAGCAGAAAGCCTCACTTTTCTCCCATGGAACAGCTGGTGGTTTTGAACTGCTGACCTTGCGGTTTGCAGCCCGATTCAGAACCACTGTGCTTCCAGAGCTATAGTGGTGGTTAAAGAAAGGCTAGAGATGATGCCATTTATTTGTTTTATGCATCTTTCTTCTCAAATGATATATCTTACTAACATAAATCTAATTGTTTTCATTTATCCTTTTAAATCATGCACGTTCAAAAATGGCTTCCCAGTTAATTAAAGTGTACCAATAATAAAATTTTAGAAAGTTGTAAACTCTCTTTTAACAAGACTACTCAGCTTTACAAGGATATCATTTATACTTTTCTCACTTTCTCTTCAGATTGTTCATGCCACGTCTTCTGTATTATAGGAACTGTGAGGAAGGTTTGGACAAAAATGAACAACTCGGAGACTTATTTTATATGAGAATTCCACTGCATAGTTTGGTGATATGATAAACCATCAGAGAGCAAGAAACGAACATAGTTTATTAATGTTCCTGAACTCCAAATGGAGACATAAAACCTTGACCTTACAGTTGTTGTTGTTGTTAATTGGCATTGAGTTGATCCGACCCACAGTGACCCTGTACATGTTTTCCAGGGAGCGGCTGGTTAGTTAGAACCACAGACCCTGCACTCTACTGCTGTATCCCACTTTACCAACAGCAAATGTTATTTAAAATATGACTGCAAATTATGTAGTCTTATTTTAAGCTTTACTTTTGTCTCCTTTTACTAATTCATTTTAAAATTATAACTACAGGAACAAACATCAGTTGCATGCTGTAACCTACTTTCTACATTTATTTTTTATTCACTATTAGAGAAACTTAATAGGAGCCCCATGTGTTACACCAAGATTTCCACTTAAATTTATTCAGTTATGTTGTCTAAAATCATGTTAACATATAGTTATTATTTATTAATGTGTAGCATGGATTAAAATAAAGAATTAGAGCATTCAAAATGGATGGTTCTGCTTTCTGGAAACAAAAATGCCCGTGTGTTTGTTTGCTGGATAATTGAAGGAATGTTGACTGCTATAAATCCAGCTGATATTACGAGGTCCACCCACTCTAGCTGTATTTATAAATGCAGACCAACCAACATGTAAGTGGCTTTCTTCCTCCAGATCATAGCCACTGCTATGTTGGTAACAGCTGTGTATATTTGTGAGGAAAGCATAGTGCTAAATCAAATGATTAGTGCAAGACTGAAAGCCCATCCATTTCTAAGAAGTGAGCTCTAGAAAAATTGTAGTTCAGGGAGCACAGAGAGTATCTCGTTTGAGTAAGTTTTATTCTCCTCACCTTTCAACCCTTCATTCTCTCCCTGAAGTTCTAATCTGTGTGGAAATGATAGCATGTTTCAGAAATTCAGGTTTGCTTGAATCTGTGACTGAGAATCCAGTTGTATTCCTGTCTTCATAGATTCAATCCTAGAGGATGGATATATATATATATATATGGCATCCCATTTACATTATGCTGGATTTATGTTTTTGGTGTTTTGTTTTTTTTTCATTTTCTGCAGAAATAAGAAATGGAAACCTAAAAGCCATTCTAGGGCTGTTTTTTAGCTTGTCTCGCTACAAGCAGCAGCAACACCATCAACAACAGTATTACCAGTCCTTGGTGGAGCTTCAGCAACGAGTCTGTCACAGTTCTCCTCAGCCAGAAGCCAGTCAGGCCAAAACACAAGACATGCAGTCCAGGTAAGGAAGGAAAGCAGTGTGCATCCCTTACAAGGACTGTGACTAACTAAATGCAATTTAAAAAAAACAAAACACAAATCATTGTTTGCTTGTTTGAAAATTTGTTATTTGTATAGTTGTATCAGCGTGATGGGATGATTTGTTAACTCTGTAGAATTTAAGATTATTTTCCTTGTGCTTGGACAACTAACATCTAGCTCCTTTTAGGTGAAATTTACAAAAAAAAAAAAAAATTCTTAAAGATGAATATTGTTCGGTATCTAAGTGTGTGAAATGTCTCAGTGCAAATAATTTGGTATGGGTTGTCTCTTCTATAAAATATTTTAAGATTTAGAATGTGGTCTTAAGTCTTAGTCTATAGCATTAAACCACTTAAAGGTGTCAAAAAGTTCAAGTATATTAAATAGCATTTTGTGTGTTTGGGAATACAGATACTTTAATGTGAGATGTGTGCGTGTGTGTATTTGTGTTTGTCTGAGCAATGTTAATTGGTCCATGGAGACACAGATGTCTGGTATTCTCACTTCCCTTACTGCTTTTATTCAATGTGGACTTGTTTTAGTTAGGGTTCAGCTAGGAAACGTATGCTAAGAGATTTATTACTAAGAATTGATTTGCATGATTATGGGACTGTCTTGTTGTTGTTACATGCTGCTGAGTGGGTTCCGACTCATCGTGACCCTGTATAGTGACCTTGTATAAGGTTTCCTATGAGTAGCTAGTGAGTTCAAACTACTGACCTTGTGGTTAGCAGGTAACCGCTTATCCTACAGTACCACACCAGGACTCCAGGGGCTGGCTGTTGTTGTTGTTATTAAGTGCCGATGAGTCGATTCTGACCCATAGCGACCCTGTATACGGTTTCCAAGGAGCAGCTGGTGAGTTTGAACTACCGATCTTGCAGTTCAAACACCTTTGCAATCTGATACATTATCCCACAGCACCACACTAGGACTCAGAGAGCTGGCTAGGAGAGTACAAAACCCTAAGGGAAGCTTGTTGGCAATGGCAGACTGGTCTGCAGTGCTCCTCCTAAAGCTGCTATATTGCTGTTGCTACTAACTCAAGGCTAAGTCTCTGAAGAGAACTGCACTCTGAAGTGTTTTGTAGTCTGTAACTGTGGCCCTGCAGGTTAATACACTAGACTGCAAAGTTGGTTTGAAATGCAAGGTTGCCTGTTCAAGCTCACCAGCTGCTCCTAGGTAACCCTATACAAGGTCGCTATAGGTGGGAACTGACTTTACGATACTTAGCAACAGCAACAACTTTTTGGAAGAAGATCATTAAGCCTATCTCCTGCGGTACCTCTGAATGAATTCAAATCATCAACCTTTAAACTACTAGCCAAACACTTAACATTTTGTGCTACCCAAGGAATCAAATTATTGTAGTGGTAGTGGCTATGTGCCATCAAGTCAATGCTGAGGCATAGAGACCGTGTATAGGGTTTCCAAGGTTATAAATCTTTACAAGAGCAGTAAACCTCGTCTTTCTCCTGTGGAGCAGCTGGTGTACTCAAACTACTGACCTTGTGGTTAGCAGTCCAACGTATAACCTACTACACCATCAGAGCTCCTTTAGAAATTGCTATTATATGAGAGGAATTCCTTCGTCTTTCAAGGAAGAACGGACTCTTGCTTTTAAAGGCCTATCATCTCATTGAAGAAGGTTCACTCATAATCTTTTTTATTTAAAGTTAACTGATTTGGAACTTTAATTATACCTACAAAATATTTTTTCAACTAATCTAGATTAGTGTGCGATAGAAAAACTGGGAACTGTGGGTTAGTCAAGTTTCCACATAAAAAAGAAAGTCACTTAATTAGGTGTTGTGTTGCTATATTTGTTCCTTTATCATGGCCAGAGTACTAGGTAGGTAACTGTCTAGCATTAAATACTATAATTTTTTTTTTCTTAAGATTGAAAGATTTTCAAGATGAAAATACTTTCATCATCTTCAAAAATATATACACTTAGCAAATACATACATTCATATATACATATATATATATATATTCGTTGTTTTTGATGTTATATGCTGTCAAGTTGGTTCCAACTCATAGTAACCCTGTTTAGGGTTTTTGAATAGACGCTGGTGAGTTTGAACCACCAACCTTGTGATTCAAACCAACTTTGCAGTCCAGTACATTATCCTGCAGCACCACACCAGGACTCCCATATTTCATAATTTAGACTTTTCTGAATGTTTTATTGTGGTGTTTCCCTAATACATCTGAGAATAAGAGTCATCTTTTTAAATATACTTCTGAGATGTGTGTTTAACTTGTTCCATCTTGGAAGCCTGGCTGAAACCTGATCATACTAATGTCACTTTGAGTCTTTTTTTGGCAATTGTATTGGCTCAAAAGGTAACACAAAAAAATAGAAAATACATTCACAAACAGAGCCCACTTCTTGTAAAAATATTAAGCTCCTTGGCAATTTCTTTCTTTTTTGTCAACCATCCTTCATGTGAACTTGCTTCTCTCTTAATGCTAAGCAAATACTTCTTTCTCTATGTTGTTGTTAAGTGCCGTTGAGTCGGTTCCAACCCATAGTGACCATGTATAGGGTTTCTGAGGAGTAGCTGGTGAGTTTCAACTGTCGACCTTGCAGCTCAAATAACTTTGCAGTCTGGTGCATAATACACAACTCCACAAATAAACTATTCCCTAGAACTAATTGTACTCACTGGTGAGCTATTAAACCATTAAATAAAAATCAAAGCTTTATAAAGAATATATAGAGCATACTTACGAAGCCCAAGGAGTGGCAGGCATTTATATGTCTAATCACACAATGATACAGATATATTTCTGCTCTTAAGTCTTGTCTTGGCTTTTTCTGATACCAAGTGAACTTGAATAGAAGTAAAAGTGAAAACAAAAATTCTCTATAGTGTAAGTTTCTTGAATTTAGAAAGGGATAGAAAAAGAGAGAAAAGAAACAGAGGTTTTATGTAGATGATTGCTTGAAAGAAATCTAGATTTTGGAAACTGTCAGAAAAAAAATAATACCTAGAGTGTGGTTTAAACCATTTGAATGGACGAGAAGCAAGAATAGTAGATGAAAAAATAAAGGGAAGGAAAACCGTTTTTTTACAAAGCATGTTGATTTTGGAAGTGATACAAAATATCATTTATCATTGCTTACCTCATTCTATTTCTGTATTTGTCATGTATAATTTCGTGTTCAAATTTTCTCTGTAGTGATGACCCTTTGGGGGGGGGGATGCTATTTCTCTTCTTCCTGCTAAGTATACATGACTGTTAGGAGTCTGTCAAATAGTTTTAAATGAAAGACCATATTTAATAGTCAATGTAATTTTACACTGTTTTTAGAAAACTATCTTTTTATTGGGAAGTTATGAAAAATATTATTTTCTAAATATTAAAAAATATATATTATTTTTTTATTCTTTAAGACTGAGGCAAATTCTTAGATAATTCCCTTTACTTTTTAATTTGAACAATTAATTTAGCAACTACTTATGGAACACTGTATTAAATGCAGTGCACTCTACCAGCGGTATTGATAGAAAGGACCCCAAAGTCTATTTAATATTTAAAAATATATGTCAGATTTCTGTGAGGCTTGATTAAAAATGCATTATTATCATTTTAATAATAATAAAGTTTATTCTATATTTTAAAATATTAATAATTCAGGCATCAATACTTATTTACATCTGTAGAGATATGATATATAATGGATTAGTTTCTGAATTAGAATTTGTGTAACCTTACATATTACAATTGATGTAATGAAGCATTTTTCAAAAGCCCATGTTAGTAATACACCCAGGAAAAGAGTATGTTCTCTCTATATGGCAGTCAAGACAATTGATGCAGAAAAGAATGTCCCAGTGACACTTTTGTAACTTCACTTGCTCAAGACATGAGTCATAAATCTTGATATATGAAGCCATCTCATTGACTTCAAAGTTAGGTTCAAGTATATAGCTTAAATATTTAGGCACTACATTAATGTAAATATTTAGCCCAAAATGTACTTTTTCCCTCTTTTGACTAATAAATATTTTAGGGTACACATTATTTCAGTTTAATAAGAATATATTTGTTTTGTTCTCTTTGCTAATTGACAAAACTGTGTATTTGTAAAATTTATTTTATAGATTATGAATGTTAAGATTTAGTTTTGTGATTAAAAGAAAATCTATATATATTCTATGAGTTTGAACATCTTTTAATGAAAATGATATTTAGATACAAATGTTAATGAGTTTAATATTGTCATTATGTTCTGTCAAGTTGACCTTTTTGGGTTTCTGAAGAGTAATTGGTGGGTTTAAACTGCTAACTTTGTGGTTGGCATATATAAAACACAACATATTTACCCTAAAGCCCCATACCAGGACTCCGGGTTAAATACACTAGAGAAAACATAAACTGTGGAGAAAGATGAATAAATAGTGAATACTATGACTCCTGGTTATGTACAATAGAGAAAAAATAAATATGCACCACGAGGAAACAGTGTGGATACCATGCTCTTCTGATGTCTCAGCCCTCTCTAACTTTTGTGTGTGTTTGGGGGTGCTGTGTGTGTGCACCATTTGGATGGGTGTGCACTGTCAAAGTGCCACTTAAGGCCCTTGCTATCAAGAGTTTTCTACCACATTCAGACTGTCCAAACTTGAATCCCTATTGCACAACTTTCTCATTCAGTGAAAGTGGGCAGCTTAGTTTATTTTTCTGTGATTCAGTTTCCTCATTTATTAAAAGGAAGTAATAGTGGCACTAGCCTCGGAAACCCTGTACAGGGTCGCTATGGGTTGGAACTGACTCGACGGCACTAAACAACAACAACAAGCTCATAAAGTTATTTTTTGGGTTAAATGAGTCAGTACATGTAAAGTACTTTGAACAAACTTGGCACATGTCCTCTTCTGTTCAAAACCCTGTAGTGGTCTCAAGTGATCCAGTTACTCTTCCTCCTTAGTGAACTAGCTGTGGCTGTTTCCTTCACCAGAAGTGTTC